AGTATTTTTAAATGAACAGAATACCAGTATTATATCTATATATCTGTGTCTTTGTATAGTAGAGTTTTAAGTTGATTTACCCTCTTTTTTCCAATTTTTGACACACAAATCTTAATATTTTTGTACCTCTGTTTATCAATTTATTGATTTTGTGGCTGTAGGTCTTTTTTTTTTGTTGTTCACTGGCTTGGCGGAAGGGCACACAACAAACACTAGGAAGGGAAATACCCTATATCCTTTTAATTATCCTGATTTCATAATTTGTACGGTTTGGGGCTGGAGCTGCTTCTCCAGTCCCATAGCACTTTGCTCACAGCCACATTTGCTGGCATGAAGTTGCTCCCCATGGACCATCCCTCCTCCTCCTGTGAGCTGTGCCCTTTCTGCATCCTCCTCCTCTTGTACCTGGGCTTAGTCCATGTTCTGCTTTAGCCAGTAGCATGCCCCGCGGAGGTGACATTATTGTCACTTTTGAGCCTAAGCTTTAAGAAGGCCTGGCAGCTTCTGCTTTCACGGAACCCCTGAGCTGTCACATAAAAAGTCTGGTGGCCAAATGGAGAGGCCGCGTGGGGAGGGAGAGGCCCTGACACCACGCTCTACAACCCGAGAAAGCCAGATCACAGGGACAGGTGACATCGCATGCACCGGGCTCCCGGCATTCCAGCCAGCCCCAGCTGTTCAGGCTATCCTGGTGCCAGACATTTAATTCCTCACCCACAGGATCCTGAGAAATAATAAAATGGCAGTTTAAAGCCACTAAGTTTTAGGGTAGCATGTTAGGGTAGTAAGTTCTGGGTGGTAGTAGCAAAGATCACTAGAACAAAACTTACGTGTTATTCTTTTTCACATCACTTAAATTACTCAAAAGATGGACAGATGTCTCAGTTTTCTTTGGAATTTCATGATCTAGTTCAGGTAATAAAATCAGCTTTTTTTTTTTTTTTCTTTTTTTCTACGATACTGAGAATTTTGCCACTGGTGGTAGAAGTCACTGCTATTTAGGGCCTATCACCTCCCAGACACTTGCTCCCAAGCACTTAAAGTAACAGAAATGTTTCCCATTGTTTAGCTTCCCTTCATCTCTACAGTCAACTGTGGTATCGGTTTCATTTGTCCATTTGTTCTTCAGTAAAGTCCCAAATATCAAACATGCCAGAATTCTTAGCTGCAAGCTACAGAAGTCAACTTAGGCTATTTTAAGCAGAAAATAACCTTTTTTTTTTTTTAAAGATTTTAATTTATTTGAGAGGAGAGAGAGAGATCACAAGTAGGCAGAGAGGCAGGCAGAGAGAGAGAGGGGGAAGCAGGCTCCCCGCTGAGCAGAGAGCCCGATGCAGGACTCAATCCCAGGACGCTGAGATCATGACCTGAGCTGAAGGCAGAGGCTTAACCCACTGAGCCACCCAGGTGCCCCCCCTTTTTTAAGAGTTTATTTATTTGAGAGTGTGTGCACGAGAGGGAAAAGCAGACTCCCCGCTGAGCAGGGAGACTGATGCAGGGTTAGATCCCAGGACCCTGGGATCATGACCTGAGCCGAAGGCAGATGCTTAAATGACTGAGCCACTCAGGCACCCCTAAGCAGAAAAGAATTATTAAAAAGAATGTTGGATAGCTTAGAGAATTGGGACAAGGACTAGAAGTCTATAGCCAGGAACAGTGAATTCCTGAAATCACCATGACTTTGGCCTGGGGAAGACAAAAGCTGCTGTCCTTGAAGCTCAGATGCTCAACCCACTAACGCAGACACCGTTCCCCGCCGCTGCCGGACTGCCGCCCACATGCACATTCCAATTACGAGGGCTGAAAGGGTGCTTTGCTAAGCCATGTGGATCCTGTGGCAAAAAGAAAAATCAGTAATACTGACCCCAGTCTTTATTTAATATAGCAATAAAGACCCCTGTCTTTATTGAAAATTTTGGTATTTGTTCCCAATGGAATTTGTACTAATTTTTTATTAAGTACTCTCTAAGCCCAACATGGGGCTTGAACTCAGCGATCCCAAGACTGAGTCCCATGCTCTACCAACTGAGCTAGCAAGTGCTCCAAGTACTAATTCTTATTTTTAAACAAATATTGTAATAGAATAGTGTTTATCTTAATCAGCTTTGTGGCCCCCAGGGTGGAAGCCTCGCTCACCTCCCTCAACCACGCCCCCGTGTGTAGGCCTGTGAGTCAGCAGGTCTGGCCTGGGGCCGGAAGCCGCCCTTCCCACAGGCTTCCAGCTTCCGCCACCGCCGCAGTTCTGCCGCCCGCACACGGAGGAGGCTGCCTGGTAGTATTTTCTCTGAGATGCAGAGCATTCAATTCCAATTTAGGATTGAAATAAATATTTTATTTGCCCCATTCATTACTTTTCTCTGGGTCACCTAGTAAAAAATACAAGGTAGCACATAAAATGCCTTGAAATGTTTCTTTCTCAACAAAAGTTATGTAAACATGAGCTTAACTTGTAGATGGTCACTGAAATTAGCAAAAACCTCAACTTGAAAAGGAAATTCCATCAGTGCTGAAGATCTTGTAGGTGTTTTTTATTGAAAGATCATTTTCCTTCAATAATAGACATTTTACATTAAAACTTTATACAACCAAAAATCTCAAAATAATATTAAAATCACACTAAGATATTTTTCATTGTTGTCTCTAATTTTATTATTGGTAAAAATATTGCAAGACACGTGTAACTAATGTTTCTGCTTTAAAATAAGCAAACTAAATGTGACAAGAAGAGACAATGATACATACTATATAATTTGCTAATAACTGGCTAAAATGATAATTTAATAGTAATGTGTAAGAAACAATTGCACTTGAAAAATTAAAAAAGTAAACAAAAAACTCTAGTTATTTATATATATATATATATGTTTATGAGCAGAGGTTAATCTGTTACCTTTGCCAAGAGAAGTACGTTTAAGTTAAAAAAAAAAATTTAACATAGCAATCATTCATTTAAAAAAAAAGTTTTTTCTTTTTACAGAATTTCCCCCATAGTTTGTTGATCAGAAAAGACTGCAACACAACTAAAGCAAAATAACACTTCATTGGTATTTAGTGCAAATTTGGAGCCATTTTACATGAAATATTAAACATGGACCCTTTAGAAGTTGCTGGAAGTAAGTGCTGTGACTATCCTGTCCTCAGTGTACCCTTTCACTTTTGAAGACTTGAAGAGAAACTTTGTAACTGAGGTATTTTCTCCTACTTGGTGTGTACTCGGTGCTGTGTGCGCCAGCAGCGGTGGCTCATCTGGGATCCCTCGTCAGGGACCCGACTGCTTCCCCGTTCTCTGCCCTCACTGCGGTGTCATCCAGAGCTGGCGGGATGGGAGGAAAAGTTCAGAAGGATTCTCGTCGCGCTCTAGACCAGGGCCCTCGTGGAAAGGCTCCCATTGAAAAGTGTGTTCTGTCCGTAGTGACACCACTGAGAACGAACAAATGCCGCCACGTTTGATTTAGAAATGAACATCGGTGTGGAAAACATGAGCGGGATATGAATTGCTTCCCACAGGAATAAAAGAAAATTAGTTACACTGATTCTTAACAGATGGAAGGTCCGGTCTATAGAACATTAAAGCCAACTTGCAAGGGTACAACTGTCCGCCTGACCACACCTGCCCGCTGCTAACCATGGGGCTGAGCCATCGTTTCCAGAAAGAAGATGCCTTCTATATGGTGAGTGACAGCAACGATACGTTGCCAGTCAAATGAGCTCTGCGTAGTGTAAAATAATGATGGATAATGGTAAAATGTGTTTTTGCAAGAGGGGAAAAAGGAATGCAGTTCCCCATGCACTGGGCGAGAGAGGTGTACTTCTACTGTGGGGTATGGTTTCAGCCGAGGAGAATGTGCCACCCCCGTGCGCTGTAACGTCCGTGTTGGCGATGTGTGGGTTTGCTGGTGGGTCTATGCCTCATGCTTTTGAACTGCCACGTCCCTTCTTTGGACCACGTGTGTGGATAGCAGCAAGGCCACTTAAGACTTGGAGATGGTTTTTAAAGGTACCAAGGTGAATGCTCAAAATTACAAATGCTGTTGAACATCTGACTCTGAATATGAATCACTTGACTATGGTGAAGAAACTTCCACAGAAGTCCTCAGTACAAAGGCTCCAAGTCTTGGCTTCCTGTTAAATTCTCCCTAAAGACCTAAGGGATATTCAGAGACCTTCAATGCCAGTAGCTTCTCCTATCTTATAGTAGAAGTCTGGCGTGGCGGGTTGTTTTTTTATTTTTCCTCTCACTTATTTGGGTAAAATGAGCCTCCCCTTCAGAGTTTTAAAAGCTGGATTACCCTGGAAGCAGTGTATCCCACAGTACTCCTTTGGGATGTGTCAGAATTCGTCTGATAGACCTTCCGGGCCCGGACTCACAGGCTCTAATTCGGAAGGCAGGAGGCGGACCTGGATGTCTTAACCACTGCACTGGGGGAGATTCTCAGAGCTGGGAAGACAATCTGTCGCTTCCTTTCTTCATGACCCTAAATAAAAATGTTCCCTCGGAGCCACATGGGCCAAATGTTTAACACGTCTTTACGGAGAGCACTAGTATGACAGGACCTATGGGACATCAGTGCGGCGGAAGGGTGAGGAGATTCACTGTGTTACGGTTTCAGATGAGGGGGAGGTCAGACAAGCAGACAAGGGGAGAGACGGCAGCCAGGCTGTTAGGATTCCCAGGTACTCAATGCACTCAGGAGAACGGGCATCTTGTTTCTGTCTGTATGACCCTTTCTTTCACCATGATTGTAGAAAAGAAGAGAAACCACCAAACATGGTAGGGTAAATGTTCCATATTAAAGAAGTTGGAGAACCGAAAAATCATTTAAAAGATTGGCAAAAGTCCTGTTCTAAATGGTGTGTGCATGTGTATGTATGGAAGGGGCCTAGTAGGCTCTTGCGAAAAATTCTTAGTTTGGAGATTCTGCTTCACGTGGTCCCTCGGATGGAATTTTCTCTTGAGAACAAGGAGGAGCCCCAGGCACCAGGACCTAGGATTGTGCAAATACACTCTTTACAGTTTCTGCACATGATTTTAGAGCCTATAACACATGCTGCTTTTCCCTAGTGTGGTGTCTTCACCTCATATAAAAAATAAATAACAAGGGCAAGAGAGGAGCCAAGAGCTGGCAGTAGGAGTGGATGAAAGTCACTCTACTTAATGATCTGCGGACAGTCGCTCCAGGCCTTGGCTTTCCTTTTGGCCAAAGCCAGCCAGGCTGGTTCTGTTGACACAGGGGCAGCATCCGGGGTTGAGAACCTCTTTGTGACTTCTTTCACCAGCGGCGCGGGGGGCGCTGAATCCGAGATCTCCACTGGGTTGCATTTTGAAGGAAAAGGATAAGCGTAAGTCAGAGCCACGTTCTGAGGTGATAGAAGTACAAGATTCAGAATGGAAACCCCGTGAGACACTGGCATCTTTAGTGAGAAGGATCAGGGAAAGAAAGCAATGTGATCAGAACTACTGCTTACAGAGCTATAGTGCAGCTGCTTTTAATCTCAGAGTTTCTGGAAGCCTAATTTTTATGCACAGAAGCTATGCCTCCATGATAGGAAATAAAAGGTAAATGCTATATTCTAGTTATCCAGCTGGTCAGTTCCATGAAGAAAAACATCCAACCAGTAGCCTGAATTTATCTAACTGGTGAGGTCAAAAGTTACCCTCTCCACCAAGCAGGCCTGAGCTGCCTCCCGCCACCCCCCGCCCCCCCGCCCGAGGCCCCTGCTCCTGCCAGCTCTGACCACTTCCAGGCTTGTCTCACAATTCTTTCTTCACCTGACCTTAAAGGCTTAAGGTGAGGGATCTGGGCTTATCTCCGAGTCCTATATAGTGCCTGTGGCAGTGGCCTACCCATGAACAGAAGTCGGGAAATACTGATGGAAAAGACAAATAGATCAGAACAAACGTTTGCTTCATTGAGCGGAGCCACTCTAAATTGCATTAACTCTCTGGCACTTCCACAGAAGTCACACAGAGAAAGGTGTGATCCCCGACTTTGGAATTTTATTTTGAAAGAATGATCCCTTTTACAACCCATATGGTTAGAACCCTCAGGTCTTGGGTGTAAGATCAAATGAAATTACATCCATGAAGTTTCTGAGAAATTACAATGCTCCAAAGTGCTCTTCTAAATCAGTTTTTTTTCTCTCTTCACCAAAATAATACATAGAGCTTCAAGGGCAGGACCTCTTTACGTCTCCAAACCTGAGCTAGCAGGTGACAGAGGCATAAAACAGCCTGGGTCTCTGGGTGGTTGCCCAGAAGGGAAAACAGGTGCTCTGCTAACCGCTGGGAGGAAGCTTGTTCCAACTCCTCTCCATCCTTCAAGTGATTTGTAACAAGGAAATAGTTTGAAACGTTACAGGATCGCTTTAACAGGATAAAGAATTTTTTTTTAAATGTCTTTTTATGTGTCCTGAATATATTAACAGCAGTGTTTCATAAACAACTCAGCTGGAAAACCTTGCCCTCTAAAGTCATGCTGGCCAGAAACTTGCTTTTTGAAATCCCTTCAGTGAGTGGAGACCATCCAGCTTTTGCCTGGAAACAGGACCCGAGTCCACTTTTCAGCTCAGGGTTGAAATCAGCCCCTTTATAGACAACTCTTGCTCTGTCCTGAACCTGTCAAAACCCCACTCCACTGAATCGTACCTCAACTTCACCCTTTCCCCCAAATCCTGTTATAACCTTGCCTCTTCCTTGAGACGATCTTAGGGTCTCCAGTCTCCCCGGCAGGAGCAGGTTAGTGCAGCTCACGCCGCGGGGACTAGAGGCCACGGGGCGCGGCGAGGACCCGGTCACATTCAGGAATTCGGGGGACCAGCGGATACCACACCGGGAGCCGGAAAGTGGCCGCAGCGGGAGGGTTTACCCCGTGAAAACTGTCAAATGCTACAAATCCGAGGCCTCCCCGCTGCCCAAAGGGTGAGGGAACCGTGCAGGAGCACACGCCCATGGTGGAGGCCCTGGAGGGATTTAGCAAATGCTGCTCCGAGAGGACGGTGGGTGGGAGGCAGCCTGCGCCCTGCGGGGCCTCGCGGGCTGCACTTGCGCTCGCTCTCAGGGACACAGAGCAGCTCTGAGACAAGCCTGTCACCACGGCGACACAGGCAGGGACCTGCTCTCCCTACCTGTCACAGATGTAGGAAGCGTGTTGGCCTTTTTCAGCTGCTCCCTGCGCTCAAGCCTGGACGCGGCCGTCTCGGGCTGCTTCTCCTCCGGCGGGGCGCGGGCCTTGTGCGGGGACCCGGCCCTGCCGCCGCCGCCGCCGCCTCCGGGCTGCAGGCCGCCGCCGACCTGGGGGAGAGTCGGGCACGTGGGTCGTCAGCCTGGGGACACGGGAAGACTGACCGTGCAAGGCCATGGGGCCTTCTGCCCGCCAGCCTGCAACCTCTGCCCGTCGCGGGGCAGCCGCACCGCCCCTGGGAGCAGCGCGGAGCCGTGACGCCCAACCGCCGAGCAGCTCAGCTCCAACGGAAGCCACTTTGCAGAGGCCCATCGAGCGGCCCCGCAAATCAGGGCTGCAGACAAGACTCCTGATCTTCCTCCCAAGTCCCTGCTCAAGCGCGATCCCGCTCCTAGTTCTCGTGTGACTGCGGGCCTGGGTCCCTGCTCCTCCGGGAACCCTACCGAGTCCAGGTAACGGAAGAGCACGAGGAAACCACAGTCAACCCCGGAGCCACCGCCCCCGATGAGCGGGGCTCGGTTTCTGCTCTGGCGCAGGTGCTCTCCGCCACTCAGCCGGTTTGTTTCCGCTCTGGCTCTTCTCTTTCCCATAAGCCTGGCAACCTGAAAGAGAGCCCAACTCAGGGACGGCAAAGGGAAAGCTGCAGACGGACACTCACGTTCTCTCTGGAGAGCTTTTCTGCCTGCTTGGCCTCCCTGGCTTGCTTCTTCTCCTCCCGCGTGGCCTGCTGCTCCCGAAAGCCCTTCTGCTTCTGCAGCGCCAACGTTATCCACAGCGGCTGCGCGGTGTCCGCCTTCTCTGTGACTTTGGAGCCATCCAAAGAGTGCCTGCTCTGAAGAACCGGCTTTTCTGCGGAAAAAGAGACTGAGATATTGTGATTTATCTTTTTTTTTTTAGATTTTTTTTTTTTTTTTTTTATTTATTTGACAGAGAGATCACAAGCAGGCAGAGAGGCAGGCAGAGAGAGAGAGGAGGAAGCAGGCTCCCCGAGAGAGCAGAGAGCCCGATGCGGGGCTCGATCCCAGGACTCTGAGATCATGACCCGAGCCGAAGGCAGCGGCTCAACCCACTGAGCCACCCAGGCGCCCCTGCGATTTATCTTTTAAAGATTTATTCATTTGCGAGAGTGAGCGAGAGCGCGAGCAAGGCGAGAGACAGAAGCCGACTCCCTGCTGAGCAGGAAGCCCGATGTGGGGCTTGACTCCAGGACCCTGGGATCATGACCTGAGCCCAAGGCAGATGCTTCATTGACTGAGCCACCCAGGTGCCCCAATATTGTGATTTAGAATATGTACTTGGGGGCACCTGGCTGGCTCAGTTGGTACAGCATGTGGCTCTTGATCTCTGAATCATGAGTTCAAGCCCCACACTGGGTGCAGAGATTAAATAAACTTTAAAAAATTTTTCTTAAAAAGAAATATGTATTTGGCCTTTGTGCCCATTTCTAGAGCTCAGAGCTCCTAAAACCCTTGGAATTTCCTAAGCAATGAGAGCATAAGGTGTCTCTTATTCCATTAAAGAGATGACTCTGGGAGCAACACTAAGGATGGGGCTGGTTGCCAGAAGAGCTAACCGCATGACTAGAGAGGCTGGATCTTTTGTTCCCACCCCCCCCAATCTGCAGGAGGGGAGAGGGACTAGAGACAGTTCAGTTGCCAATGACTGAGGATTTAATCAGTCACGCCCATGTAATGAAGCCTCCATAAAATTCCAGAAGGAGGGCATTCAGGGAGTTTCTGCTTGGTGAACACGAAGAGATTTGAAGGGAGCGGTGTGCTCTCGGAGCAGAGACGCTCCACACCATTCCCCATAGCTTGCCCTTCTGTATCATTTCTATCTGGCTGTTCCTGAATTATAGCCTTTTGTAATAAAATGGTCATCTAGAAAGCAAGATGTTTCTGAGTTCTGTGAGCTACTGAAGAAAATTAACTGAACTCAAGGAGGGGGTCATGAGAATCTCTGATTTCAAAGTGGATCGGAAGCACTGGTGATGGCCTGGCCTTGGAAATGGCATCTAAAGTGGGGACAGTCCTGTGGGACTGAGCCCTTAACCGGTGGGGCCTCATGCTATCTCTAGGTAGAGAATGTCGGACCTGAGCTGAAACGTGTCTGAGAATCGTCTGGTGGTTTGGAGACCTGCCCTCCCAGCACGCCGAGCCCCCACCCCGCCCCTGCCACCCACGGAACTGTGAACAGAACCGGGAAAGGTGGAAAGCAGGTTCGCGGTGAGACTGCTCACTTATCTGGATCCCGCACCCCCTACAGCTTATGACATGAAATACTCAACAGCCTTTCCTGAAACAAACTCTGTACGGATGCCTCAGAGACTTCTCTGCATGGGGAGGTAACATCTTTGATCAACAGAAACACAGAAGCATTTTCTTTCCCTCAAAATGGAAGTAAAAATAAGATCTCCAGTGTCAGAAAATCTCAGGCCTACAGGGGACCCAGGCTGTTATTTGATTTATTGTTCTTATTTATTGCTTTTCAACCCCTCTCCAAACGTCCTATGTGGAACCCCAAAGGATGGGAGAGATACAAGGGAGGCTCTTCTACCTGGTGCGGCTGCTGGAGGAAACTGTGATTTTGGTCCAGTGCTCTCCCCTGACAGACCGGAGTGTAAGTGTACAGCAAGCCAGGGTCATGCTCGAGGTCACCCCGCCGTTAGCGCCCAGGCTGAAGTTTGAACCTAGGACTTCTGATTTCCAGTCTGTGCTTTTCTTATGGCTGACGGCCTCCCCCATGCGACCCGGGCAAACGCGCTCCGCAGGAGATGGGCAGCGGAGGTTGAGTAATTAGGCTTTTAAACTGAGCAGCCCTGGGTCTGACCTCATGTTAAACTAAAGTTATTTGAACCTCCCTAAGGTCTTCTAATCCCTAAGTAGAGATGATAATGGCGCATACCTCCTCAGGCTGGCCAGAAGATGAAGAGATCGTGGGCGTCAGAACATTCAGAACAGGGCTTGGCATGACCTGTTTGGTTTTTGAGAATCATCCCCTTCTTTTCCCTCAAGTAAAAATTATGCCTTTTTAGAGATAATCATTTTGTTACTGAATCCTTTACTATCTCAAAGGGAAAGGGCCCACTATAGTCCTGCTCTTTTGAAATCTACTAGAAGTTCACAGTTTGATGATCTAGAACCTTACCAAACAGGGCTCTCAGGCAACTCGACTTTATATGAGAAGAACCAAAGAAAATCAAATTAGGAATTCAAGCACGAAAAAGGGGCAGATTCTGCTTTTCTGTACCTTTTAGATCTATAACACTACACAGAGAGAATTCCTATTACAGTGAGTCTTGGTGGTTACACTATCCCTAATCATCAAATAAAGATTCAGGTATGATCTAACACAGTGAAGAAAACTGGCATACTTCGGAAGTATTTAAAAAACAAAATCCCTGAAAGGTATTTTTTATTAATCTTTAGTTAACCAAAAAAATTAAATACAGTTGACCTTTGAACAGGGGTTTGACCTGTGCAAGTCTACTTCTATGTGGATTTTTTTTTATAAATACAGCACAGTACTGTAAATGTATTATCTTTCTTATGTTTTTCTTAATAACATTTTCTTTTCTCCAGCTTACTTTATTGTATAAATACAGTAATGTACAAAATACGAGTTAATCAACTGATTACATTATTAGTAAAGCTTCCAGTCAGCTGTAGGCTATTAATAGTTAAGTTTTGGGGAAGTCAACCGTTATACACGATTTCAACTGTGCAGGAAGTTGGTGGCCCCTAACCCCCATGATGTTCAAGGGTCAAGTGCATTCACCACTTTAAGCATTATGCTTAACTGAGAAGCTCTAGATACATGGGGACTAATTTAATAAATTTTGGGTTTTTTACTCAAGGGCCGTGTAACATTATTGTTTGTAAAATGTCTGAAAACCAAACTGCCAAGATCCAAATGGTTTCTATTTAAAGCAATTATGTAAAGGGATTCCTACACTAAACATTCCATCTGAAGGTCATTAAAACCACTGGCCAGTTTCCTGACAACAGTTCGACAGGTGTTTTATCACAAGGGTCAAAATACCTTTAAAGTGTAATTGCCTATTTTTTTTATTTGAAAAGGTAAATCACTAGCCAGATTTTTATTTCCTTAGAACTGTGGCTTGAATAGCACTTTCTGGAGTTATGACCGGACTTTAAAAAGGCTCTAATACAGTATGAGAAAGGGCCTAACACGTCCGGACTGTAGCTGGGGATCAATAAACAGAAAACATCTGAGGAAGGTAAAATGGGGCTCCTGTGAATTTCAGCCAAGGCTGCCCAAAGGCCTTCAACATACAATGGCACTGACTCTCATATCCTGAAGTAAAGTTCTAGATCACCTACTTCGGACTAGCCCAGACGGCTACCACAAGGTCATGGGAAAATCAGAGTTGGGGGAAGAAGAAGCCAGGGTAAAACATTTGTTTAAACCTATTCTTTCTCATTCTGAACTCAGTGGACGAGGGGAGCCACAGGCCATTCAGATGCCCTCCTTCGGGTTCTGGGGACACAAGCAAGTCCATCCCGGCCTTACAGGGTTTGAACCACAGCTCCTGAAGGCAGTAAGTTCTTGGAGAAAGGGCCACTTATTATGGGTTCCACACACCATAAGGAGGTGGAAAGTGAGATGACCTCTAGAGGACAAACGGGGGGATTACCTTTGTTATTTTCATTCCCACCGGGGCAGATTCAGAGTCAAAGCCCTCCCAGTGGCTCAGCCTATGCACTGGTTCTCACTGGCCTCAGCCTTGGGGATGGAAGTCTCTTTTACACCAGTGGCCTACAAAATAAAGGGTGTGTGTGCCCTAGGGAATGTGTCCGGCCATTCACTGGGGCTAAGTTAGGAAGAAAAGGTCAGAATTTCTGAGTATGTTTAAATTAAAAAGAAAAATGAAATTAAGCTTTTCTAATATTTAGTATTTAGACTGGCACAGACACCCTCACTCAGGCCATATTCCAGAAGGCCACCTAGAACAGTGTATTGACAGCCCCCCCGCCGAAGGTGGAAGCCCCAAGTGCAGGGAGGGGGGAGAACTACTAACGCTGTCCCTTGTCGGCTCTCCTCACTCCTTTGCTTTTAGCGAACTGTGAGGTTGCTATTAATACGAACACAAGAACCCAGCAGGGCCCACGAGCTCTTTGCCTCTGCTTCATGACAAAGCCAGAGCGGTCAAGCAGCCGCCCAAAGAAAATAAAAGGAAGCACCATGATTTGCAGCAGATTTGGGTCCCCGTGGTTTCAGTGAACTTCACCCTAAATGCACGCGGAGCTCCAGGGGTTTTAGCTAATGGCAGCACTACAGGCACACAATTAACAAAGGAACTGGAGATCCAGGCTTTAACATTTTTATTCTGATGAGGGCGTTCAGTCCAACACACCCTCAGCCTGGCCTAGTGTGCGGTGGGAAAACCTCAGTGGTCTTTAGATGGTACCCCCAGGGCATGAGGACCTTGCTTCTTTTCTAGCAAATAAAGAAAAATTCAGTTAGCAGAGCCTGACAGCCCAGAATCTGGATCCTGGGTAAGAAAACAGGGGCAGTAACGGTTTTTGGTAGAAAATTACAATAAAGGGACTTCTCTATGAGAAAGAAGCACAACTGTTATTTCTCTGGGGAGAAGCTAAGGAGAGTGATAGAGTCCCCCAGACAGTGAGAGGGACTTTGACTTTGAGCGGGAGATCATAAGAGCTAATGACACAAAAGCTAATGTCAAAACTGAAAATGGGGCTCCAGTTAAGACGGCAACATAGAAGGATCCCGAACTCCCCTCCTCGCATGGACACACCCAATATACAGTTACATATGCAACAGTTTCCTTTAAAAGAAATCCAAAAACTCCTACACGTTGGGTGAACGAGAAAAACCCCATGTGGAAGGAGGCTGGAGAAGCTGGAACACAACCTCACCATGAACCCACAACTGGGAGAGAACTCACAACTCCTATCTTCTCCTTGGGAAGCAAAGGGTTTTGGACTCCACATCTGGTACCCCAACTTTTCAGACTTCTATCTAAGAGCTAGGGCCCCCAAAACACCTAGCTCTGAAGGCCAAGGTGGGGGCTGCCAGTGCGAGTCCCGCGAGGCTATGGGGAACTACGGGACAGCTCTTACCCGCTTGTGGGACTACCATGGTGACCCCCCAGGGCCCAGCACAGAAGGAAAAACAGAAACACAAAGAAAAAACTGAGATTGGGCTTCTCATCAGCAGGACAAACAGAAATTAGGGAGAAATGGTCTGGAGACTGCTGGATCTACCTGCCGTCTAAGGCTTGGTTAAAAAGGACAATGAGACCTTCCTTTCGTAAGGCAGGTCACCACACCAATACTGCTGGGCAAACGGCTCTTTTCTCTGCAAAAATCACTCTCCACCTAAACAGTCCAACAAAAGAGAAGGCCTATGGGTTTCCTAATAAACCTCAGGGGAGAATTTCTCTGAAAAACAGAACTTCTAGACTATCTTTCTGAACGTTACCTCCAACCGTACAAAACAAAAAAGAAAGTATCCTATGAAGTTCTCAGGGGCCCAAGGCCACTCTGGAGAAACAGGAGGGACGGCAGCTGCTCTGCAGGTTCTAGCAGGAGGCCTCAAGAGCCAGGCTGCGGGGCGGAGGGGGTCCCGCAGCAGCGCGTTTGGCCCAAACTGCCGGGGAGCGGCCGGTGCACCCAGAAGCGCCTCGGGCGACGCTGCGGCCGCAAGTCAGTCCCCTCCCGCCAGAGCCCGCCGCTGCCCAGAGGACGCAGCCTCCTCCGGGGAACCCGTTCGGACCAGCGCCGCACGGGCCCCGCGGAGGATTAAGGACACGCGCTAATCAGGCCGGCCTCTCGTGTCCACGGCCGACCCCCGGCGTGTCGGTCCGGGCGGCAGCAGCGGCCCGCCCGTCGGTCACGTCGCCGGCCCTGGGCAGCGAAGGAAGCGACGCGCTGGGTGGGGACCGTCGAGCGGCCGCCCCGGCTCCGGCTGGGCCCCACGCGCGGCACCGGAGCGAGGCCGAGATGCCCCCGACCGCCACCTACCTCTCCTCCCGGGCTCGGGGGTCGGGCAGGGCTTCTCGGGCCGGGCGGCCTGCGGAGCCGGGGAAGCGGGTTTGCGCTCGGGCTCCACCGCCTCCTCCTCGTCCCTCGGCGGCGGCTTCCTCGGCTCCGGGGGCGGCGGCGGCGACGGCGGCCGGGGCTCCCTGGCCCGCTCGCCGGGCGCCGGGTCCGGCCTTCCCGCCCGGCGGGCCAGCAGCTCCACCAGGTAGGGCCTGCTCAGCTTGGAGAGCGGCGACGGGGGCGGCGTCTGACCCGCAGGCTTGGGGGCCAGCGCGGGCTTCGGCGCCAGCGGCGTTCTGTGGGCCGCGCGGTCGTGCTCCGCGGCCGGTGGGGGCCCCGGGGCGGCGGCGGGAGAAGGGGGGGCCCTTTCGGCCGAGTCCTTCCAGGCGGACAGGCCGGGCTTCCTCTCAGGGGGCAGGGACGGGCCCGGCTTGGCGGCCGCGGCTTCGGGCTCCTTCTCTCCCCTGGTGCCCCCGGGGGCCGGGGGGCCGCCGTCCGCGCTGTCCCCCGTGCTGCTGTGCCTCTTCTTCTTCTTCTGTTCCGTCTGCTGGTCGCAGTGGAAGCGCAAGGAGTAGTTGGTCCTTCTCAGTTTTATGCCAAACGGTGAGGCTTTTTCCTCCTGGCCGGGCATCGAGGGGTCTGGCTTCCCTCTCCCGCTGCTGGTCTCAGCGTCCGAAGTGGCCCCGGGCTCCGCATGGGCCACTGCCTTCTGCGGCGGGTAAGCAGGGCTGGGGACAAGGAAAGACGGGAGGTCTTTGGCAAATTTGCACCCCTCCGTGGTGTCTGCTGGCCCTGGTTTCTCTGCACCCTTGGGGAGCTCGTTAGTAGCCAGGGACTGGGGCGCCCCGGGTCCCAGCGAGGGTCTTTTTCTCATGCTCTCCGCTTCTGTGTTCTGTTTGGAGGTCTCGGTGCCACCGTCAGAGAATTTCTGCCAAGCGGGCATAATAGAGAACTTGGCATTTACTGGGGGGGTCCTCCGGAGGTTCCCGCGGGAATCACTGCGGGCCCGGGGAGGGTGCTCGTCACCGGGCCGCGGCTGCTCGCCCTCCGCGTTCTTCAGGATCCTGGACCGAATGGACGCCCATTCGGCGAGGGCGGCCGCACTGCTCGGAGACTCCTGGGCGGCCCTGACCTTCCCGCTGCCTGCCCGGGGGTCGACAGGCGCTCGGGGAGGGTTCTCCAGGGCAGGGACGTCAACGTGCTTCTTTTCTTCTGACAAGCCCAGGAGGGACTTGCATGCCGTGTCCTTGATCTGGCTCAGGTTGACCGCCGGGCCGCAGAGCTGCGCTCCCGTGACCAGAATGGCTGTGTGGGGTACACTCCGGGAGGAGGGCAGGGCGTGGGAGGTCGCGCCGGCTCGCGGGGTCTTCGGCGCGTGGGGAGCAGAGGCAAGTCCCGCATCTCTCGCGGGTGTCACCGGGCTCAAATTGACTTTGGGGAAGAGAATCTGTTTCCCTCCCGATGACACCTGGAAAGTGTAGGGCCTTGGCATGCTCTGCCTCTCGTCCACTTCCTGCCACCGGAGTTCCTCCCCCTTTCTGTCTTTTTCTGGGGCAGCGGCTTCCTTCTTCTCCCCAGGAGTCTCTTCCACTTGCACCTCTTGTTTCTGGGGAGGCTGCGCGCTAGTTTCTGGTCTCTCTTCCTGACGCGCACGACGGTCAGGCTCCCGACCGTCCCCGCGCTGTCCCTGCTGCTCTCCGGCTGGCGCGGCCTCCTGACTCTGCTTCTCGCCAATCTTAGATTCCTCGGAGCTTTCGCTTTGCTTCTCGGGCAGCAGGTGCTCTCGTTTCCGGGGTTTCTCTGCAAAGTCCATCTTTGGACTCCCCAAGCCCCTTTTTTCGTCCAGCTGCTGCCACTTCTCCTCGTGCACTCTCCCGGCTTTCCGATGCTCCCCTTCCGGCCTCCTCAGGGCCTCCACTTGCTCCCGCTTTCCCAGCTCTGCCCTCCTCCTGGCAGCTGCCTCTGCCTCCAGCCACCGCTTCTCCTCCTGTTCTCGCTGCTCCTCCTCCTCCTCCCGCTGCCGCTGTTCCTCTTCTAGCTGCCGCTGCTCTTCCTCCCGCCGCTGCTCCTCTTCCTCCCGCCGCTGCTCCTCTTCCAAACGCCGCTGCTCCTCTTCCAAACGCCGCTGCTCCTCTTCCAAACGCAGCTGCTCCTCCCTTTGCCTCTGCTGCTCCTCTTCCAGCCGCCGCTGCTCCTCCCTTTCCTGCTGCTCCTCCTCCCACAGCCGCTGCTCCTCCCTTTCCCGCTGCTCCTCCTCCCGCTGTCGCTGCTTCTCAGCTTCGAGCCTCTGCTGCTCCTCCAGCTCCTCCTGCCTCCTGAGCTCCCTCAGCTGCCTCTCCTCCTGCAGCTGCCACTGCGTCTCAGCCTCTGCGCCGCTCCACACCACCTGCTCTTCCTGCTGAGCAAGGCGCTGGAGGCGCAGCTGCTCTGGGGCCTCCAGGTGCCTTCCGTCCACCTGATCCCTCCGCCCTTGGCCACCTTGCTCTTCCAGTCTCTGCCTCTCCTCTTGGCGCTGCCTCTCTTCTGCCTCCAGCTGTAGTTCTGCCCCCTCTCCCTCCTCGTCTTCTCCTTTCTCCTCCAAGAGTTCCTGCCTTCTGTTCTCCTCCCAAAGCCTCCTCTCCAGGGCCTGGAGTCTCTGCTCTTCCAGACGTCTCCTCTCTGCTGCCTCGGCCTTCTGCCGTTTGCACTTGGCCTCAAGTTCCAGCCAGTATTCCTCTTGGCATCTCTTCTCTTCTTCAGAGTCCAGCAGCTCTGGCTCTTCTTCATGCCAGACTGGCTTGTCTTCTCCCGAGTGTCCGTTCTGGTCCGGCGAGAGCTGATAGGGAAGGCCACCATGTTCATTTGGTCCATCCTAACATTGGTAAGGAAAGAAAGAATTAGCCTTTTCCTTTCAAACAGGCAACCATTACCCACCCTATTCACAATGCCCGTGGCCCTCTTAATCTCAAAAGAAGGAGCAATTGTTCCTAAGTATAGAGCTCGGTAAACCCAGGCCAGAACACTGGGAATAAACTGCACGGGTGGAGGAAAACACATCCCTTCGTGTTGACTTCTGGCCCCTTTGTTGGTCATTCTCAAGTTCCTTTCGCTGAATACAAATAAATCACAGGAGAACCAATAGTCCAGCATGAGAAAGATGAGAAAAAATGAGCTTTGCACGTCGTGTGCCCTGAAACCTGTGACCTCAAAGGCCACCCTAGTCAAACCAAAGACCCTCTGGCTGAGCTGTGGCAGGGGAGCTGGGTCACATGGCAGGGGCAAAGCCAACACAGAGGGCCTGGGGGCCCTCAAATGACAGCCTCTCGTTTTGGGGCCCACCAGCCCCCAGGCAGGCATGTTAGAAAGGGCGATGGAAAGTAAACGGGCCTGCTTTGCCCTGGTTCACTGTAACTCACCAGGTCCCTGATGAGAGAGACCTAGTTCCTTCTACTGGCCCCCATGGCACCGCCCTGCCGGGTAGAAGCAGCGGCCAGCAAGCATGGGCAGCTGCCTGGTCAGCCAGGATGGGCCCCTCATACCCTGGCAAGTCGCCGGTGCTTCTTGGACACCCTCTGGTTTTTTGGCTTTACGGACAGCTTGTGCTTGGCGGCACTGTTGTCCAGGCGAGCGATGGCTAGGGGGATGGCGTCTAGGTTGACACTTTCGATGGTTCCAGCAGAAGACAAGTGCCTTTTTGGCCGAGATGGTTTAACAGGAGCCACCTGTATGGAGATGAAACCACATGGTCCCCATCAGAGCCACAGCCCTTGCTGGAGGCAGCACCCGGCCCAGCCCAGCCCCGGGGATGGCTTCGAGCAGGTGGCGCTCACTGGGACCGTGAGGGGAGCACGATTTGTTCTGCCAGTGTTATTTGCATTAACTCATAAAGGTCATTTAACCTTTCACAGACTAATTTTCCTACTTTGAATAATATGGGGAGGGGGGGGTTAGAGTAGATGGGGGGTAACAAAACATAGCCAGGGGGCCCAATCCTGCGCATAGCTTAATTTGGCACATCAAGTTTTGCGGGCACATGACCACGCCCACTGCCCATTGTCTTTGGCTGTGTTTGGGCTGCAAAGGAAGAGCACAACAAGGGGGAGTGTCCTGGTTGGACTCTATGGCCACCAAGCCTGAAATAAGTCATAGTTTGCTGAGCCCTGGACCAGCTCAACTCTGTGCTAATGACTCTGTCATTTAAGACATGACCTGAGACACCTGCAAACATCCCTCAGCTTCTACTTTAGTCCCTCTGAGGCAGGGAATGTGTCTTTTTTCTCTTTTCAGTCCCCTTTATGACCACGTCGCAAATCTCATTTGGCAAGTGCTCAGTAAATATTTTTAGGAGGCATAAAGGAACCACAACAAACTAGATCATCCGTACTTAGGGTATGAAATTGGTACCCACAAAAATGTTCTAGCACAATCACTCCAAGGCCACGGAGCACTGAGTTGAGTGCACCAAGCCCATGAGAGGGCGAGGCCCTGGCGCAAAAAGGAAGGGCAGAAATGTACCACCCCGGGGGTGAGGGCAGCCCCTCAGGGTGACCAGCAGCACTGGAATGCAGATGGGCGCACTCAGAAACCACCACCCGGACAAACTGTACGCATCTAGGCAGGTCAGAGAGATCCAGCTCGGCCTGCACTCACTGAATGGGAGGAGAAGCCACACCTGCAACTCCTGAGAACGTACAGGCCAGACAGGCGGGCGGCAAGGGGAGGGCTCCCAGCTGCACGGCACCAGCGCGCAGCAGAGGGCGCTCTCGGCCCTCCCTGCGGGGCCGGCCGCTCCCAGGCACCGGCGGGGCAGGAGCGGAGGCCGGGCTGGTGGGCCGCATTCATGCTAGCAATGCAGAGCCCGTGGGGCTTAGCGCACAGCTTCGTTTTTTGCGATTACCTTCCATATTCGTGCGCTAAAGATAAAGGACCAAGCCAGCTCCAAGAGCAAAATGGATGCTCAGTAAATAATAACTTATGATAAGAAACACAGAAGTAAGGAAAAATAATTCCAGCCTTTGGGCTCCTAGCTATTATTTCTTTATGGTTATCTTTAGAATAGGTATCACATTCTGAACTCTTGTTGAAAAGATGAATCAAACATTATTTCCATCCCCTAAGAGATGGATGAATAAAAAAGCATTCCAGCCAAATGGGACAGACTGAAGGCACAGAAAAGTACCATCAGCTGAGATTTAAATGCAAGTTTGCATTTCTAGATTGTTCCAGCTGGGCTGCTTCATTGTCTGGACGGTGGCAATCTGCGGCCATCCCCCTTCAGAAGACTCGGACACACTCTGCTCACTGTACCGTCCCCGGGAGGAAGCCTGGAGCCTGTGCAGACAACTGCTCTGGCTAGTGGACTGGCCTCTAAGGGTCCCCGAGACTCCTGCGGGCACGGTCCCAGGTTTCAACTGAACACAGAAAAGTTAAAAAACAAAAATACATACAAGTAGAGAAATGCTGAGGTTTTTTGTTTTGTTTTGTTTTTGCATCTCTAAATAGAAACTCTTCCTTACAGACCTGTGTACCTTCAGGTGTTCTGGAATGCCTTTTCCAATGGCTTCTCAGGGTCTTGAAGGACCTGGCACATTTAGGAAGCCGTGGAAACGGACGCTCTAACATCTACCACTGGTAACGTTCTGAAGGAACTGAAGGTAATGGGTGTAGGTAGCATTTATGAATGGAAAAATGATACGGTGGATTGGAAAAAAAGGGTCCAAAATGGAAGCTGAAGTAAAGAAACTAAAAACTGAAGTTCAAATCATACTACCTTGTCTTCCATCTCACTTCTGGCTCCAGGCAGATTCAGAGGACTCTGAGAACTTGGAGGGTCACTGGGCTGGAACAGTAAAGAGAGCGCTCAAGTCAGACGCCGGAACAGGAAGTTCCGGGCAGATAACCAGACTCGGCTGCGTGGGGAGAAGGCTGCAGCCCGCAGAGAGCCGGCGGGAGTCAAGGTGGGGATTTTGCTAATGTTCAGATGAGGACTCCCAGCACGGAGCGTACACTTGCTTCTTTTCCTGAGTCCAGCACATCTCTATCTGGGCAGTCTCCAACCTCAGTCTCTGCTGTGGCTGAGACCAGGCGCCACCCTCCAGCCACCCAACCTGGGAAGCAGGGCTGTGTCACACACCCGGCCTCCGACCTCAGAGCTTCAGGCTGTGCTCGCTGCCTTTGCCCCCTTCACCCGCTGGCCATCTCCCCTCTATGCCAGACCTCTTCTCGGTGAGAAGGAAAGGCCCTACCAATACTGCGTGCAAAGGGCTGGGCTGAGGAGATGGATGAGCAGAGGAGACAAAAACCGTTAGGACAGAGGAAGAAGAAAAAGGCTGAAGACCCCCAGCCCAGTTGCTCCTCTGCCCTGGGAACGCCCACACCACGTGGCCTGCACCTTTCTGATGGCCCCGCTGTACCTTCTGCCTTAATGTGGCCCATAGTTAAAAACAGGAGTTATCAGTTATTGTCCGTTCCAGAGCAATAATGTCAGCACCACACTTAGAAGCATCTTTAGAAAATACAGATCGGGTGCCTGGGTGGCTCTGTCGGTTGGACGTCCGACTCTTGGTTTTGGTTCAGGTCATGATCTCACAGTCCTGGGATCGAGCCCTGCCTCAGACTCTGCTGAGCTGACCATGGAGCCTGCTTGAGATTCTCTCCTTCTCCTCCCTCTGCCTCTCTCCCACTGCTCATGCTCTCTTGCTCTCCCTCAAATAAAAATAAAATTTAAAGAAAAAAAAGAAGAAAACACAAATCAGATACTACTCCCAGAATGAGAAGCCCCCTTTTCCTGTAGTTTGTATAATCAGGCCTCTATACCTTGCTCTATCCTCCCTTTGCCCCCCTCCAGGGTCTGGCGGGCCACACAGACCTGCTTTCTTTTGGGACACCCCCAGCCCCATCTCTGGGCCTCTGTGCTTGTTCTTCCCTCTGCGGAGAATGTGGCCCCAGCCCCAGGTCTGCTCTGGTTGCTCTGACCTCCTTGCCTAGAGAGCAGCCCCTCACCCACCATGTTACTCACTTTTCCATCACTCTGTTTTACCTTCTGTGCAGTACTTTTTCTTGATCCAGAGTTATTACATTTATATACATATCTGTTGATTTGCCATGTGACTCTCCTGTCATCAGAACATAAGCTACATGGAGGCAGCCCCTGCAGAAGGACTGAGCCTTGTCCTTCCTCGGGCCACAGTCTCTGGCACTTAGATCCTCAGTAACAGTGAGGACATTTGCTTCAGTCCTTGGAAAATCCCTGCATGAAGGCTGATGGCCATTGCGGCCGCCTAGCGCTGGACAGGTTGGACCTGGTGGGGGCGCTGTGCCTCGCCTACTTACCCACCGCAGTCCCCGCTGCCCACCTGTCTGGGACCCAGGAGTCAGGAGGGCCAGAGGCAGAAGTGGGCAACAGTGGGGGAATGGCCTGTTCTTTCCTTCCTCACTTTGCCCTACAAATCACTTCTCTTTCTTCCCGCCCTGATGATGTATTAGCTGATAACAGGCATGACTTCGGGAGGATGTCCATTTTAAGAAACAGCCGAGTAATTTCAGGTGCCTGGGTAGGCACAGAAAATGCTTTCTGTTGAGACTGGACGACTTGGTGGCTCAGCTCGAGGGCTCCCTGCTCTAGCTGCTGGGTGCCTGCCCTCCTTCCCCACTGGAGGCCCAAGGATGTCCCTCCTGCTGCTGGATGGACTCTGATTCTGGGTCACGGTGTTTCTTTCCAAGTGTCAAAAGACCAGATTCAGATCGGACAATGCTAGACCAATATGACTTTCTTTCCTCGTTAAGTAGACTTCAAGATAGCGTGTTTGATACGTTCTGCCTCGTGAAGGACCTACTTCTTTCTTTTCTCATCTCCCTTTAAATTAGTCTAATCTGACGAGTAATCACTCAGTGCTACTACGTAAGCACTAGCTGAGTCCTGGGGCAACAGAGATGTGGAGACTCCAGTCAGTCCTCGAGGAACTCCACATTTAGAGACGGAGAGAGCACAATTACATGGACACGGATGAGTACAGGTGTGTGAGAAGCACGAAGGATGCCCAGCAAAGACACGGGAGACAGCCCCGAGTGGGGGTAAGGCCGGCTAAGGCTTCCTGGAAAAGGTGGGCCCCGCGGAGTCTTGAAGAGTAAGTGGAAGATGCTGTGAGGAGCAACCGCGAAGGGCACGTCTCCCCTTCACCACCCCCAGTTGTCCCCCGGAAGTGTGCCTCACTGCAGACCACGGGGTGCCCTCTAGCCCTGGGCTGCTCAGCAGAAAAGCTTCTCTCACACATTCCCTGCTCCGCAGAGCCCAGAGTCTCTGGATGCCCTGGCCACTGCCCAGCGTCCTCCCCTTGCTTATCAGCAACCAGGTCACTCCCTGGAGGAGCCTTACTTTGTGCTCGGTGTCTGAGAGGGGGACGTCCTCGTGAGTCACAATCTCCATGGGACTGGTCAGGAGCAGATCCTCTTCTAAGCTGGCCTCACCACTGTCTGCCTTCTTCATGGGAATGGCACTGGGTGGTGGCCGCCCAAACTTGATGTTTTTGCTCAACTGTCGCTGGAGAAAAACCAAAGAAAGACATTCTGAAGCAGGGAAGTGGGTCACGAGGAGTGCGAGCAGATGCCCCCGCATAGCTAGGGGGCCCTGGGGCGCGTTCTGTGCACGTTTCTAGACTAAATACCATGCCAGTGAGCCACAATGCAGTTCTGGGATAAGTGGATTCGTTTTCCAGTTTCTTTTCCTTTCCCACCTTCAAGCCATGAGCTTTTTCAACCAGCCACCTCTTTCCCAGAGATGCCAACCTTATCCAGGGGGTGGAGAGACCATATTTTCAAACCAAAAGTGGGAATACATGTTATGACAAAATTTTTTGGTTAGCCCTATAAATGTATTTATTAAAAAGTCTCATAAAAATGGTATAGAAAAAAATAGTTAACATGAAATGCAGGAACCACTGGGGAAAATCTAGACCCTCGTGGTTGCTGTAACAAAGAAGCCCTCCAGCTTCTCTTGGACACGTTCTCCCTGAATATTTGTTTTAACCACCTTCCTCACCAGCCCTCACTCAAACACCGTGTTCTGCTCACATGGGCACCAAGGTGAAAGGGGCCCCAATGCTGGCAAGTCCTTCCATGATCAATGCAGACATCACGGAAGACACAGAACGATCCTGTCCTGCCGTGAGGACTTCTCTTTGCCCTGCTGCAGTTTGACAGTGTGAACTGTGGGGCAGAAGGAGCCCAGTGGGGAAGGGACAGAGAAGGAGGCAGAAGGAAAGGGCCAAAGAGGGATGCACGATCCGTGGCAGGTAGTAGTGTGTGTGGGGGGGAAACGGGAGAGAAATTAGGAAGATCAATAGTGTTCAGAATTAGAGAAAAGCCAGATCAGAAAAAGAAATATATTCTCTGAAGAAAAAAAATTATAAATATAATGTTAAAGGGCAAAATATTTAATGGGCTGTGGCAGAGAAAATGAACAACATTCAGGAAGAAGGAAGGGTACGCCGCGGCCACCCAAAGGACTACTGAATTAAATATGCTGTGTAAACCCGTGCCATCGTCTACAGCAGGTTCGCAAGCTCAGCACTCTGGACGCGTCCCACCACATCGCTCTCTGCTGTGGGGAGCTGTCCTGTGCACTGTAACAGCTCAGCAGCCGCACCTGGGCCCCTGGGCACCAGATGCCAGCAGCAATTCCTTCCCTATCCAGACAGTCCGCTGGGGGGGGTAAGAGTGCTGTGCCTGAGAGCTACTGCTCTAGACTTAGGGACTCCGGCTTCGTAGTCCTTTTGTGCCTCAAAAAAAAAAAAAAAAGAAAGAAGAGAAAAAGAATGGGAATGCATTATCTATATCTATATCTATATTTACTTTTAATCTGGTTAATACTTAATCCCACAGAGCCACAGGGGGCTTTAGCAATCACACAGTCCAACCCCCTCATTTTATAAAAAATGTCAGAGGTCCAGTGGGGAGAGGTGACTGGCCCAAGCTTATGGAAAGAATGGCCGCGAAGGGATTTGAATCCAGGTCTCCTAAAACCATAGTCAGTGTTATTTGCTCTGCATTCCACAGGTTCTCACAAATTTGACATTGCGCCACTTTCTTCCTCTAGGGGCAAACATAGAGAGATGATGCTGCATTCGTAACTCTGTGCCCAATTTCCTTGGCAGGGGACTCCCTTGAGGGAGATGCCCCTTCTGAACTCACAGGTACTCCGTCCACCCACTCGTGCCCAGCTCCACCTCGGCCTTGCATGGTAGACAGTGAGACTGCAGAGACACGGAAGAGATGAGCCCAAGACTCCCCTCCCCTCACCCAGGGCACCCCAGCATGCCAAGTCAGGAGCACAGAAAGACAGAGGACTTGTATTTGATCTGCTGCTATTTCAGCCTGAGCCTGCCTCCCCTGGGAAGGAGCACACATCAAAAGCCCCGAGATCAGCCAGTGAAGTACAGCTTGAGCAGCCTGAAAGGGATTTGGGGAGGGCAAGGCTGAGAAAGGGTGCCTTCTCACAACCATTTAGCAGGAAGCGGTAGTTAGTATCTACCCTAAGCAGATCAAGAAGCAGGCACGGTTAGAGCAGCCGATGGAGTCAGACAAGAGGACACGGTGTAACGAAGTCACGGGCCCATCCAAGTCTGCTGACCGGGGGGAGAGGGGGTCGAAAGGTTCCTGTGTCCTAGTGAAAGCCCCAGCAGGAATTCCCTCGGGGACTCCCAGCCCAGCCTTTGGTTTACCAGTTATCCCTGCTCTAGGAGTCTAGGCCGAGCCCTGGAAAGTGTGCTAAACCCCCTCATACTTAGACGTCCTGTTGTCAGGGTCTGCCATGTCTCCATGTTCCGGAACGACTAAGATGAGGGGATTTCCTCTAGTTACAATAGAAAGAATAGTTCTTTAACGAGCTTCCCAGGAGAACTTGGCCTAACAGTCAGTGCCATTCCGTTAGGGGGTTTTGCCACCATCACAAGAAGAGAATGAAAATGCTGAAATTCTTCTTCGTGAGGGCACCTTATAAAATACTTATGTGGGTCCACCCTGATGCTAAAGAGACAAACAAGCATATGACACAATGTAGTCGCAGTCTAGATGGGAATAAGCTCCAAAGATGGGATGGCTGTCGTGGCGAGCAATGGAAGAGCTACGCGAGAATGGAAAGAGAAGTCGATGGGATAAGAACAGGAGGAATAAGGCACATGGGATGAAGCTGGAAGTGGAGACGGTGTTTCTAAGAACTGAAATGGAGCATGAAATCAAAGAGGTGAGCCGAGAGGAGGGTGCAGAGGTGTGGGGTGTGGGCCTAGCAGCAAGTACCTAGCTGGGGGTGGGGAGACGGGGGTTGGGGGGAGGAAGAGGTAGAGGGCAGGAATGAGAACGTGACTCGAAGGGATGACTGATGTCACAGAGACGTGCATCCTGGCCAAAGAAACACAATGCTGTTGCCCTTGAGAATAACAACATGCACTTCTGTGAAGCCTCTTGATTTAAAATCACTCTAGGAAAAATAAATTCAGGCTGGTGGCTGCGAGCTTAGGGGGATGGAGGAGGGGAGGCCCCCGGTCATCAAAGAAATGCTGGCTGCTTTCAGAGATCGGGCTGCCGCCTCTCTGTCCAGACAAAGGACTGTCTTCCTAGACACATACCTACAGCTGTCAGGGAAGAGACCTCAGAACCAGGCCAGGGTGGGACTGAGGGTTCAGGGCCATCATGACTGACCCTTAGGTCTGCAAGGCGAGGTTCCTGCACCTGCACGTTTTCCCTCCCCCGGGCTTCCTGCTCCAAATGCTTCCTGTAGCCGACTCAAAGCAAATAGGGCTGTCGAGACACTGTGTGACTTACTGACAATTAGAATGTGGCTGCTGAAACATATTTGGCAATCTCGGGTGTCATGTGACTTGAATGTAGAGCTCAGTGGGACTTTTTTGTGACTTCAGTTCTGTCCACTACTCAGGCATTGTCACGAGAAGAGCTTTGATAGAAGCTCCTGACAACCAGACTGTCGGGATGGAGCCTGCCCTGGTAAACTACTACCACTCCCTCCACCTTCTCTACTACCCGGGGGCCCTTCATATACATTGCAAGGACAGCCGGAGAGGGGGGCAGGGCACTGCGCCTACACCGACGGGCCATGCCGCCTGTGGCTGTGAATGGGGTTACTGTGAGGACTGGAATGTGAGCTAAAAGGGACTATATTTTATTCATTCAAACTGGGCCATTTTGTTGTAACATGGAATGCCAGAGAGTGATGTTATAGGAATGCACATGCATATTTATGAGGCTTTCTCCTATGGTGTGGGAATTCCAAGCACATGGTATCCGGCAGCTCCCGCCAGCCAGGATTTAGATTCCCCCAGACTGCTCGCGGCCATCCTTCACACTGTGTCTGCGAGAACAAAGCAGAAGAAAAATAAAGTTTCTGTCTTCTTGAGTGAACTACAGATGCACCCGTAGTGAAATGAATTCTTAAAGAGAGGCAAAAGAAAAAGCATATAGATTTAAAGATATCTGCTCTACGCAGAAGTGGCTAAGAGTGGGTATCTATTCTTTGTGTCCTTGACAGCTGCATGAAGTGTCAAAAACCTCCAACATATGACACTTGGGCATTTTTAAGTGAAATCCAGCTCCGCGGGAGTCAGTAGCTACTGAAGACGGAGGGTCTTCCTCCTGGGCTAAGTAGTCCGTGGTCTAATAGAGCTAGCATCTTCTGACAAAGGTGTGGTATAATTCTAGAAATCACCTGCAGGCTTAGACTCCAATGTTCCTGCCTGAGTTTTATCGTCACTTGTTACCCACTTCATAGCCTGGGTCTGATCTGATCTAAGCAGGTACCTCCCTGGTCTGCGATCTGGGCAGCTGTAAGGAGCATCAAGGTCACTGCAGTCCAAATGGAACCAAGTGCGAAGCTTCCCCAAACGCTCCGTGCTACAGCCGGTGAGCAGTGGTTCCGTACAGATGGCAGACTTTGAGAACTAGAGGGCCCAGATCATCCATCACATTTACCCCCTTATTTTTCAGATGGGGACAGTGAGGGTCAGAGAGGTTCAATGACTTCCCTGGAAGCCGCACAGCCAGGTGGTGGGGGAGGCCTGGCACAGAATTTTTATTTCACCCACTGGCCGTGGAACAGCTGACTGTTATGTGTAGGACCTTCAAAAAGGGCATCACTATTGGTCTGACCCCTATAACTGTCCTATATATTAGAATTTGTTCTCCCTACAAACATGTAGTATTTTTGTACTCGAGGAAAAAAAGTCATTTTTCTTGTAAAGTTTCAATCATTTGTGACAGAAATTTTGGCAGGTGATAGATTCATTTGATTCAGAGAATGCAGACTTACTGACCACGCTGCATTCAGTCATTCTGCCCTCAGAGCGGTTACAGACCACCCCGGTACCCCGGCCAGCCAGCCGAGCTGGGATGACCACGTGTGGACACTAGAGGGCGACCTTTCCCAACACAGTCAGTACGTGCACCTTTCTGGGGGGGGTTCCAAGGACTGGGAAGTTTCTCAGGCCAGAGAAAAATGGCTCCCTACCCCCACCCCCCCAATGGTATTATGATAGAAATCTCATTTCAAAAGAATGTCTTAATAGTGACTAATCAGGGGCACCTGGGTGGCTCAGTGGGTTGAGCCTCTGCCTTCGGCTCGGGTCATGATCTCAGGGTCCTGGGATCGAGTTCTGTATCGGGCTCTCTGCTCTGCAGGGAGCCTGCTTCCTCCTCTCTCTCTCTGCTTGCCTCTCTGCCCACTTGTGATCTCTCTCTGTCAAATAAATAAATCTTTAAAAAAAAAATAGTGACCAATCAGCCTGCCAGGAGGACATCTACTGTCAAATAGGTATCCGTTACTTTTCTGTTTTTAATAAACATACGTACATACACAAACACGATTTCGGACATAAAAAACATACATGCCTCTGACATAACTAACACCCTCATTCCATGCTGGAGCCTACGAGGGGGCGGTCTTTTATGCTGCTTACTGAGCATCAATATCAGCATAACGTTGTCATGGAAAAATGCAAAGCATTCATGCAAGTATTAATAAAGTTAACTACTGTTTCTATGACTTACCAGGAACATACTGCTTAGTCGACTGAAAAATAAAGCACAGTCTTTTGGGGGTGATACAGTCATATCTTAATGTCACTCCAAAAATCACATTTTCTCTGATAATGGTCCCCATTTCCCTCCTCAAAGAGCAAAGCCTCTTTATTTAAAAAAAAAAAAAAAAAAAAAGTAGAACTAGAGAGTAGTAAAGAAGATTGTGAAGCCATACCACAGCAGAGGCAAAGTCAGGCAGACCTCGGGTGAGTAGGTATTGCCCGAAGGAGAGCACTTTCCTCACATTTTCCTTTCCGTTGTTAATAGAACTGCTGCTTCAGGGAAGTTGGTTGTTTTACAGTTTATTTATTTATTTATTTATTTTTAATTAAAAAAAATTTTTTTGTTGTTGTTTTACATTTTAACTGTAAGATCTGATTCTTTAAACTTGTGCCCCGCAGCGTGAACTGGCACAGGCACTCACACATTCTTACTGAGTTTCAACAGTGCAGAGTTATATGTTTTTTCCAAGTCCAAATCCACTTCCTGGAGGGGCAGTGGCACGCGGTGTGACGTTAGCACAGACATCATTTAAGACAACACACTATTATCTCATTTTTAAAGAACTCCTCGAAAGCCCTTGTGAAATACAGCTGTTTCATGGACTTAACTCTGGAAGTCACTCCTCTTGGAAAGGGCATATTATGAGCCCGGGGTTCAGAACTTCTTAAGAATAATAGCCCAGGAGTCAAAATACTGCACGAAGGAAAGGTGATGTGGGGAGGGGGTCCAGCGTTTTCTTGGGCAGTCACCACCCTTCCTCTTCTCCAGCCTAGGAGAAGTGACAGCTTGCTTCTGAGTCTGTGCACATGTAGCAGCACAGCCAGCAAGAACTGAGAGCAGAACCTGGTCGGGACATGCTGGAACCTGCCGGAAGGGCCTGCGTCAGCGCTGAGGGCAGGACGGTGGCCCTGGGCCGTGGCTGGCAGCAGGTATAAAGATCCAGGCCAGCTCGGGTGTGGTTCCGGGTGTTAGCTATTTCCCCTCCTGCCCTATGCTATATTCAGCTGAGAGTGTGCAGACATGTAACCACAGACCCCAAAATGCATAGCTAATGTTCAGTAGAAACAAGAACATTTCAAGAAAATAGAAAATTTCCTTCGAGTTATCGGCAGCTACGCAGGCCAGCTGTTCCCCCGCCCTTCATTCATTTATACATTCGTTGTTGTAGACTTACAGACAGATGGGAGTCAGCAAACCAGAGTCCCCCGTTCATAATTTGGATCGCCTCCAAGCCTTCCCATCTCAGAGAAGTGCTTGCTTGGGCACTTCTGTCGGGTGAGTGAATCCTATCAGGCTATCGAGCAAACCTACGTGATCGGATCCCAGGTGTCTCTGCTCCTCTTGCTTTCCCTGGATTTCCCATGATCTCAATCACATTTAGTGAATAATTATTTTATTAAATTTTCATTATGGAGGAGTTACCACCTGCGTCAGTTTTATAGAGGAAAACTGTCCGACTCTGCAGCATGAACAGGAGGGAGGTTGAAGAGCTTCCTGGCATTCCTCCAAGACAGGGCGGCTCAGGGGAAGCCAGATTTACAAATACGGCAAATAATAGAGTCCCCCCGTCACTGTCCAAGTAGGGGACGTGCTGTGCATGCCCTCAGCTACAGTCAACCCTGTGCTCTGGGATTATGGGCGACATTCAATGGTTACTTTTCCAACCCCCCCCACCCCCACCGCCCAGCCAAGTCCTGAAGCTTCTCTTGGGTACCTGTCCTCATGACATGCAGTTAAAAATGAGGGAACAGCTCAACAGAACAGGAGTGGGGTTGTTAGGTAAGTGGGTACAGTGGTGACGGTGTACCTCTCACAGGGCACAGAAGGCTTCCAGAGAACAGAGTCAGGGTTGAGAGAGCAGAAATTCTCACCAGGAGCTCCCCTGGCTCTCCCGATCCCTTACTCAAGGCCACTCTCAGGATTTTCCCGCTTCCCACCATCGCCGGACCCCCCTCCTATGGATCTGACTTTCCAATCTCAAGCTGTCTTACCTGAAGAGTTTTGACTTTGCCCAGGATGTTGTCCTGTGACATTGCTTGAACTGTCTGCTCACTTTCTGCTCCCCCATCAGGGATAAAAATACTGTCATGGGAAAATGCCCGGGTTCCCATAGAATAGTTGAAGGACCTGGAATGCAAATCATGTGCTTCATTTATTAGGATGATAATATTTCTTTTGGCAATTCAGTTTCCTGTTCCTCCTGATTTAAGGGACTCCCCCCACAGCCCCTATCTCCCTCAGAAAGCACTTCCAGCATTGTGTCCTTTTCTGCGAGGGGTCAGCCAAGTCGCTGGTAGGAGAAAGGGTCTCTCAGAAATACGGGAGCTTGTCCCCAACACAGGGTTTTAGAGCCGCTCCAGGACAGAACTCCAAGACAGCTCTTGACTTGTAGAGGACCCGGTACACGAGGCCTGGCAGGAATTGGAACTGGGGGAGCCCACGTCCTGACAAGCCTGACAAGCTGCCGCTCTCCGTTTTCCCCCAGGAAGCCTGTCAACCAGCACTTTCGAAATCACATGCAGATCTACAGGTTAGACGCAAGAGATTTTCTCCTTTAGATGACTATCAGATTGTTAAAAAGATCTGTGCATCTAAGACGGAGACTTGACGAGGCCAAGAATTGCCGAGAGGGCCTACAGGTATCGTCTCTGGGGCTGGACTCTTTAAGAGAAACACGTGTGGGGGAAATCCGGGGGGGGGCTTCGTGCACAGCAAGCGGCTCGGAAGCGGTAGGTACCCAACCATAAACACGTTTCAGCTGAAGGGGTGCACTTCATGGAGTCCAGGCTTCCACCTGGGGTGAGCTGCAGGAAGACGAGCAGCAGAAGCCCCTGTTCCTCGCCCAGTCTCGGACATAACTGCACTCTGGGAAGGCTGCTCCCAGGGGTGGGCGGAACCACACACTCTCTGGAAGGCAGGGCAGGTGCATTTCCATGATGCTGGGCTCGCGGGCAGACTCCCGGGGTGAGAAGGGGCTTCTTCCCTGCTTCCCTCCTTAGAAGCGCATCCCAATTGTAGCTTTTATCAGTGACCCAGCGTCAGCCCTGGGGGAGGGGCGCCTGCAGCTGGGGCTTCTAAACTGAATTACAGACACGCAGCAGGCGGGGTCCTGACCAGATCTAGACGGGGTTGGGAAGGCTGAGTACCAAATCCTGCCCTCGAGTGGGCCAAATCCGAGGCAGCAAGGTGACAAAGCCTATGAGGTTGGGAAGCCAAAGGCTTGGATGCGAGCCTCCGGGCTGTGCGACCTTTGTCAATGACAGTAAGAGCTGCCACCAACCCCACCCTGATGAAAATCTGTGCTGGAGTGTTACTTTTGTCGTTTCAACCCCAACGCCTTGTTGCAGATGAAACTCGGGGGGTAAGTATCTGTATCTAAAGTCATCCGAATAGAAGCAGTAGAGTGAGAAAATGAACTCAGAGCTGCAGACTACGATCCCTCTCCCAGCCAGCTGAAGTGTTTTAAAGCAGCAGAATAGGTTAGTCCCCCTCGAGTGAGGGGAGGGGGACGCCAGTGGGAGAGGAAATGCCAAGTGGGCTGGACCTGGATTAGAAATACTGAACAGCTAGAACACCAGACCCTCTAGAGCAGCAACCCACTTTATGAAACAGAGATCACTTTATGAATCAAAGATCACATTATCTCGCTGTCTTCAGAGACTGGCCAGCCGCATCGCCCTGGTGCTAGGCTAAATCCCATTCCAGTTTCTTAGGCAACCTTGACCGAATCATGAACTTTATCTCCCTGATCCCCTTCTTCTTCCAGGTAGGCTAAGATTCTCTCCTATCCTACTCCTTCTCCTACTCTTTCTGTGTTGCCCCAAATGTTCCTCGTTGCCAACTGAATGTTCACCCATCCCCCACTTCCAGATAATCATACTGAAAAACAAAAAATGAACGGTAGTGATAGCAGTAGTGATAATTACAGTAATAGTGGCAGTCGCAATGGCAACATTAATACCGGCTAGATTTTATCAGACACGTGCTGTGTCCCTGTTGTTTGTGCTACCTCTTTAGCATAATATCTGAATTCTTCTGATACATAATATTTAAACTGTATCTGGTAGGCACTAGTATGAAGCCTACTTACAGAAGAGGAGACTAAGGCTTGAAGACAGTGGGTGACTCGCAATGAATGAAGTGATGTGGATCTGTTTCCGGCCTCGTTTCCATTGGTCTACTTGTCTATTTTTACAGCAATAATCCCACACTGTCTCAATTACTACAGCCTTTTTTTTTTAAGATTTTATTTATTTATTTGACAGAGAGACGCAGCGAGAGAGGGAACACAAGTAGCGAGAGTAGGAGAGGGAGAAGCAGGCTTCCCATGAACATGGAACCCGATGCCGGCCTTGATCCCAGGACCCTGCGATCACGACCAGTGTTATGATCCCATGACCCTGAGCTGAAGGGAGACACTTAACAACGAGACACCCAGGTGCCCCATCACTACAACTTTTTAATGAGTCTTTGTATCTAGTAGTTTAACTTCTCCAGCTTTGATTTTTTTGTTTTGTCAAGATGGCTATTCTTATCTATGCATTTCTGCATAAATTCACGTACATACCCACACTTGAACACACTCCTAGAGTTGCTTTTTTTTTTTTTAAGATTTTATTTATTTATTTGACAGAGAGAGAGATCACAAGTAGGCAGAGAGGCAGGCAGCGAGAGAGGGGGAAGCAGGCTCTCCTCAGAGCAGAGTGCCCGATGTGGGGCTCAGTTCCAGGACCCTGAGATCATGACCTGAGCCGAAGGCAGAGGCTTAACCCGCTGAGCCACCCAGGTACCCCAAGAATTGCTTTTGTGATGGCATCAGACATACAGATAAATTTTGAGATAACTAACATCGTTACAATTCTTGATTTAGTCCATGAGCATCAGATATCCTCATTCATTTAGCTCCAACTTACTTTCTCTCAATAATGTTTTGTAATGTGTGTAGAGGCTTTGTACATATTTTGATAGACTTATTCCTACTTATTTGAGGTTTCTGAACTCATTGCAAATGGTATAGCCAAAAATTTTTATTTCCTAATTATTTATTGGTGGAATATTAAATTATAATTGATCTTTGCATATTGTTCTTAAAACTAGGCTTAGCTAAATTTATTAACTATAATAATATGACTTGATTCTTTTGGACTCTCTATGTATACAAACAGGTTGCCTGTGACCAAAGGCAGTTTTGTTTATTTTAAATCCATCCTTCCTTCCTTTCTTCCCTCCCTTTCTCTCTTTTCTTTGTCATCCTGCATTATCTAGGAACTTCACAAAGTTGAACAGAGGTCATGATGGTAGATTTGTCATATTCTGGAACTAAGCAAAAATGCATTCAATATTTTACCATTAAGTTATGCTGTAACCTATAGATTTTTTGTAGGTTATATCACTGCTTCTTCAAAAAGACAGGCAAACTATCATCTTTTATTTATAGCTGATATTAAGATTTTTCCTCTTTGCCTTGGTTTACAGCAGTTTTACTCTCTCATGGTCATTGTGAATTTCCTCTAATTTATCTATTTATAATACATACATAATACCTCCTAAACCTGTTACTTGTGGCTTTCATCAATTCTGGAAATTCCTCAGCCTTCAAATATTGCTTCTACCCCCTTTTTCCTTTATTCCCCCGCTGATTCTCCAATGTTTGAATGCCTTATGCTGTTTCCCATACCTGTCAATTCTTTTCACTCAATATGATTTAGTTTGGATTTTTTCTTTTTTTTTTTAAAGATTTTATTTATTGGGGCACCTGGGTGGCTCAGTGGGTTAAAGCCTCTGCTTTCGGCTCAGGTCATAATCCCAGGGTCCTGGGATCGAGCCCCACATCAGGCTCTCTGCTCAGCAGGGAGCCTGCTTCCTCCTCTATCTCTCTCTGCCTGCCTCTCTGCCTACTTGTGATCTCTGTCTGACAAATAAATAAATAAAATCTTTAAAAAAAAAATAAAAATTTTATTCATTTATTTATTTGTCAGAGAGCGAGCGAGCGAGCAAGAGTGTCAGAGAGCGAGCGAGCGAGCAAACAACAGGAGGAATGGCAGGCAAAGGGAGAAGCAGGCTCCCCACTGAGCAAGGAGCCGGATGTGGGACTGGACACTGTGATCAGGACCTGAGCTGAAGGCAGATGCTTACTGACGAGCCATCCAGGTGTCCCTTAGTATAGATTTTTCTACTGACCTAGATTTCAGCTCATTAATTCTCTCTTTAGTTATATCTAGTCTACTGTTAAAACTATCTATTGAGGGGCGCCTGGGTGGGTCAGTCAGTTAAGTGTCTGCCTTTGGCTTAGGTCATGATCCCAGGGTCTTGGGATTGAGTCCCAATTGGGCTCTCTACTCAGCAGGAAGCCCGTTTATCCCTGTCCCCCTGCTTGTAGTCCCTCTCTTGCCATCTGGCAAATAAATAAATAAAAAAACTAAAACAAACAAACAAACAACTATCCATTGAACACTTAATTTCAGTACTGTTTTTCATATCTAGAATTTCCATTTGATTCTTTTTCATAGATTCCAGTTCTCTGGTGAAATTCTCTATCTTGTCAACTATTTTATTGAATGTATTAATCACAATTATTGAAATACTAAAACTCCAATATCTTTATAGGATTTTGGGGTCTACTTCTATTATTCTGTTTTTCTCATAGTTTGTTTCTCAACTGCCTGGTAATTTTTTGATTGAAGTCTAAGTATCAAGAATGAAACACGGGAGAGGCTGGGTTGTTTCCTTCCAGTGAGGACTCACCCAATCCTTCAGCCATCAGTGGCAGAGAGGATCACCTCAATTAGGGACTGAACTGACCATGGCTGGTTAGCAATCTTGGTAAGGCTCAGACAACCTCTGCTTTGTCCTCATACCTAGGCTAAGGCCTCCTGTTGTCTCAACTGACAGCCTGGGTTGCTTCCTAAGATCCCCCTCCTTGGTAGGCCCCAGACCCCAATTTTCATCTTTCTAATATCACACACTGTCAAAAACTGTGTTGCCGTTCAGCCTCTATCCTGGTGCAGCTTTATCAACAAATTTATCGAAAGGAAAACTGCCGGGGCGCCTGGGTGGCTCAGTGGGTTAAGCTTCTGCCTTCGGCTTGGGTTGTGATCCCAGGGTCCTGGGA